AGGGCAAGAAGGATAGGAAATTATTTTAGAAGGGCAGTTGTTCTTGGTAGGTTGAGATATCTGAATAGGCAGACATGTGAGATAAAATAAATATATCACAGTACAAGTAGTATCATGTGAGATAAAATAAGTACAATTTACAAGCCACGTATAGTGGTATTAAACCATCAACTGTGGTGGAAGACTTCACCATATATGCTTTCCCTGAGCACTACTTTTAAGAATAAGTATGCAAAAACAAAAGTTGAACATTTAATCTGACTCTGAAATGCCATCTTTGGAATCTAACCACAAATGACTATATTCTGTACAGTACCCAAAAAAAGTACCATAAACTCTAAGAAAAAAGTAATCAAAGAAATCAGGACTTGTAGGTGGCTTTCAAATGGACCCCTCCCCAAAGCTAATAGTTCTATTATGTAGATTAGTATTCATATGATCATATGAAAGCCATTCTGTTAGGCATTGAGAGTAATCCATCTTTGGGTCTGAGAAGTTCAGTTTAGTCTGTCCCATGCTACAGAAATGTATGGAATTGGAATTAGGGAATAGGGAATAGGTGAAGGGAGGGGAAGAAGATAGGGGTATGGCATGGGTTACCACTTGACAGCCATTCTGAGCAAACAGTCAGCGACCAATAAAAAGCCTAACAAAATGCAAACATATTAATAATAGGAGCAACACAAACCCAGGGTGAAGATAGTAGGTTATAATAACCATAGGAAATACATAGTGTACCTACAAAGGATCAGCAAGGATAGCTTTCAGCGTTCCACACCAGCCGAACTGTTGCATAGTAAATGGAATTCAGAGTTATATGCTCCTGGTTGTGCAGTTTCAGGGCCCACTGCTATTTTAGTCTGATCTCAGCATGAAACAATACAGTATACACACAGCTTTAACTGAAAAAGTACAATATAAGAACTGAGGTTTAAACCAAGACACACAACATGAGTTCAATAAATGGACCATTTTGCTAGCATGGTCATAGCAATAGTGAGGGTGTCAAAAAGTAGGTAGTGGCCAGGGGTGGACTGACAACTCATGGGGCCTGGGCAATAGGGGATCATGGGGCCCCTGTGTCCTTGCCCAAACTCAAAAAAGCCTATGAAAAAGGTACCAGGGGCATTTCATGGGGCCCCCTACTGACCTGGACCCTCAGGCAGTGCCCTAGTTTCCAAAAAAGGTCAGTCCGCCCCAGGTAAGTTTCCATTTGTCTTTCAACTTCATTAATATTGTGATTTTAATATACACTCAGAGTGCGCCCTCTGGTGTTTCACCTATTATGACAATGCAGAAGTCAATATAATGATGTCTTGATGAGTACTGGATATCACATGACTTGTTGAATGAGTAAATCGCCATCTTCTGCCTTTGATAAGTGCTTCAATTGACTAGTATATTTAATTCATGACCCCTTGATCAATATATGCATTGTTAAAATTGCTAAGCCTCTCCCCTCTCTGATGTCTCCAGCCGTCTGTCTTTTTAATTATATTCAATAATGACCAGCAGCTGTGCTAAGTATTTAGCCCCTTTTTTTCTTCCATTAGGAATAACTGCAGGCTGTTTTTTTGCATAAATGGGTGGGTCTTTACCCACTATAAATAGGAAATTGAAATGCAGTTGTTTCATTGGTCCTGACGAAGCTGAGTGAGATACGCCCATCGGCGAAACGCGTTGACGTCATACGTCAGATACGTCACTTCCGGTCATGCGCATTAGGTGGAACGCACGCTGACCCATAAGGAGGAAGCCATCTTCACATGCCATGAGGCAAGCTTAAGCAGCACAAGCGCCAAGAAGGGGCTGGAACCCGCGGTATATCGGCGGATGTCAGCGGTGGTTCCTTGGCCTCTTTAGCCCTGTATGGCAGTATCTATGAAGGACTTCTCTTTCATTCCTATGATCCACAGCACAGGTGGTGAGTGGATTGTTACAGGACATTAGATATATGGTCCTCTGTGATCTATATGACCTATATATCCTATATAGAGTGTAAGCTCTGTCAGTGACTTCCCACATATTGTTTTGTTTCACTACAGGATGGGGACATCATGGTGCTTTGTATAGGAAAACAAGATATACCATATATATTTCAACAGGCAGAAGATCTATTGGGATGTGTCTTGTTGTTCCTACGAAAAGTGGTGTGTAGTCACATATAGTGGTGAAGAAACCATTTCAAGCAGAGTGCTGCTTTGTGCATCTTTTCTTCCATCCTGGGAATTTATGGGGCATATTCTCATTCAAGAGCTCTAGGAAACAGCTGTTTATATTACAGATGAATGGGCCCCAACCACTTGTGCCGGCACAGGAATGTACTGCATTATATATATTTTTGACATTTATGTCTTCCTTCATACAGGCCTGTGGCTTGATGTTCTCTTTTTGACGCATATTGTGCTTGCTGCATTGCATACATGTGATATTCATATCCATAGTTTAATTTTTGGATTCCCTGATTGGGATTTACCATCATGGTAATAGCTTAATCTATTATATTTCATATTATGGTATGCCTATGGTATAATATTTGGGATACACCTCCTTTGGGAAGTGTTCACCTATGTGTCTGTGCTACAGGGACATTAGACTCTTGTAGTCATTTTTTCTGCTGCACATGCATTCAGACCGGTTTTGGTGTCATTTTATATGGTTTTAGGTCTGTGTGTATTGTCTCATACTAAGGTGATGGTAAACCAGGGCGAATGCCCATATGTCATATTTATATATGTGTAATAAAGCATAATTTTTGGAAATTTTTCTGAGTGTCACGTTCTGTTCACTATGTAGCCGCTTTTCTGTGAATCTCTTTTCACAAATCCCCCTTTTTGTATGCATCTCATGGGGCCCCCTACTGACCCTGGGCCCTCGGGCAGTGCCCGAGTTTCCAAATGGTCAGTCCGCCCCTGGTAGTGGCTCATATCAACACATAATGATCAATCTGTCCATGCACCATAGAAGAAGAGTATAAAAGTAACAGATTTGTAAAATTCTAACCGAAATGGCAATAAGAGTAATGCCTAGACCCAAAATGGGAATGGGAGGTCAATGACATTCTAAGCATCTCATCCAGGCCAAAGCAGAAATTAGTGTACAAATCAAAACCATAAGGCTTTAATATGAACATCAAAAACACATGCTGTCAGCCATAAATCAGCTGTATAGGAAAAGGACTACGTTAACAAGAATTAAAGAAAAGATTGAGAGCTCAATCAGAAGGATAATGTATGCATCCTTCCTCGTCTGTTGTCAGTTTAAATGCTTTAGGGTACCATAGCTTGGGATCTCCGGTTGTTTGAGAATTGTTCCTTCATGCTCTGTTGTGGTAAAGAAGATTTAGCCAGCCATTTCGTACCAGTAGAGGTGCGATGCTGAGACAATGGTTTGAATAGCGTTAACAGACTGAGATCCAGTAAGAATTGCTTGACTTCTTTAATGGGAAACCCCATCTATAATGGATTCAGTGGGCCTGAAGGGTTTGATGAAGGGGTTTCATAGATCATCTATTGATGTTGGTTGATTGAGCTAGGTCTGAAAAAATCTGATATTGATGAGCCTGGAAAAAAGATTAGATGCTTTGAGGGTTACCTGGTAATAGAATGTCACCACTACATCCCCGGGGTGGGTGTAAACTATCAGGCACTATGGACCCGATCCATCTCCAGGCATTCAGCTGGCATTTCAGGCACCAGTTCCTCTACAAGAGATAGGATGGAATCTTGAAGATCAACCACACTTTCCGGTAGATCGCATATCCTTATGTTGCTACAGCTGATGGTGTTCTTGCATCCTCCAGCTGATTGCGGAGGGTATGAAGCTCAGCCTGTAGTTGTTCCAGGCTGCTCTTGTGACCATCCAAAACTGTGGTGTTGTCCATGCTGTGTTCCAAAAGGGACTTGTGGTCATCAGGGTCTTGGAGATCTTTGAGAAGTTCGATTGATAATTTGCAAGAAGCAGTTATTTCCTCCTGAATGTTACCTCTGATTTTGTCTAGCAGAGGAGCCTCTGCTCCAGGGCAGGGCATTTGTAATGCTGAAGGGAACTACATGAGGCCATCTTCAGAACTCTTGGATTCTAGTACTTACATTAACAGGTAGAGCCAGTTCCATCTTTTCAGTAGTTCTACACTGAAGCTTCAGGTTTGGTTTTTGGTTTTTGTGGTTTGGCCTTGGCTTTGTTAGTCTATCCCATGTTTGGAGTAGATGGTTAGAAGATTAGAGCGCAAAAAGGTAGGTTTTTGAAGGGTCAATAGAATGTAGCTGCAGCTATCAGAGCAGGAATGTAGCCATCCAGTCTGTTGCACACATGCACACCCAGTCACTACACAGTAGATTTCAGACTGTGAGGGAAGGGCACTAGGAGCCAATCAAGTATACTGCCTTTACTGACAGGGAAATCCAGAATGCTGCTTGTCCCCTCTCACTATCCAATCACGAACTGGGGCAGCAATGTGACCTAACTGTCGTGGATATTTGCAGTAGAGAAAACTGATGTCACTAACCAGTAGCTTTGCTGTCTCACAGGGCTTTGTAAATCCAGAATGACTTGGCCAAAGCATAAATCCTATAGCAGATTAAATCAGCCATACCATACTACAGAAACTGGGAATTTAATTGTTTGCAGGGAGTTTAGCTTTAACAATACATTTTTTCATATTAAAAGTAAAATAAATTAAACATATATTTAAAAAGTCTTTAACAGATATATGACAAAAACAAGTTGATCTGACTCTTGACAACATGCTCCGGCGGATGGGCACATATCTAGAGCAAACTGCTGTGGTCATGTCCCAAGCATCTATCATCCCAACATTGAGTCCACTGAAGATTTCCTTTACTAAAAGGTACTGTATATACCCGTGAAAGTCGCTAAATCTCTCTACATCAGGGTTAATCTCCCTGATGTTCTCAGACTTTATGATAACTTTTGTATCCGGACTTCGTAAAAAACAAGCTCTCTATGGCTCTTCGTATGCTGAGAAGCCTTTTGATGAACAGGGGAACGGGAAAGGGCCGGAAGTGCTGTCCTAAAGATAACACAACAATTGTATTAGAGCCACCACCAAGCCGATCGAGTTCATTGGCAATGTAGGAGTGATCTTTGACATTGAAATAGTTCATAGTTACAAATGGATGTCCATGTTTCTTCCACTGAATGTAGATGTTGTTTTGTAAGTCAAATGCCACGTAGGTCTTATGCCAACCATCTATATGGGTGTTAAAAAATTTCAGATCTGTTAAAAAAAAAAAAAATCAAATGGTTATGTGTTATAAAAAGCATATTTTTTAGTCCATTTTTTTCAGACTTTGGCAAAAATCCACCACATAAATCTTGATTTATTGTTAAGCAGAAGACTAGTTTTCAAACTTTTTTGAGAAACAGTACCAAAACACTATAAAACCTCAACACGAACAATAATACAGTGATTTAAAGTTAAACAAATGCAGCTCAGTCAGGATAAACCTGTAACTTTTTAAATTCAATAAATATTTTCTGCCCATGATTTGCTATTTTGAGCAATTTGTAAAGGGTACATTAGGCATCAAAACTCACCCAGGATTTATGCCAGTGCCCCAATAAACAGCACTTCATCCCCACCTGTAATCTGTCCTATATGAGCTTGACCATGGTCCGTAATCCACCCCCCAAAAATAATTGCTCACCTTTCCCCTAAAACACTCATTTCAACCCTAACATGTAATGCTTAAACTGCTTCATACCTAAAATAACACCTCACTCCCCTAAAGTCTAATCCTAATCCTTGGCTGTCACTTTGCCCATGCAGGATGTCAGGGCAGGAGCTGAGGAACAAACAGACAGGCCTAACAACAATGTAACGCACTGGCTGACGACAACCACCAACAGACCAAAGTCCCTCAGGGCGCGGAGTCTAAGTCCCAGGCTGCCCTTCACCAGGGCCCCTGATGGTGGGGATGGACTTGACTCAGCCAGGAACCAGGTTGCGGCCCCTGAGACACCCCAGTTGCAGTAATGGCCGCCACCAATGGCGTGTAGCTGATGGAAAGGACAATAGAGTAGTCGGGCAGGCCGGGTCGACAACAACGGGACAAAACGGTACAGGACAGCAGACGAGAATCACAGGTCACGGGCCGGGTTCAGCAACGGAGGGTCAGATCAAAGGAGAACACAAAGAATGGTCGAGTCACAAGCCGAGTCAGATCCCAGGAGAGTCACGAGAGTCAGAACAGAGCTGTAGCAACACAAAGACACAAGACACAAGTGCAAAGAGCATGTGCGGACCACAGGCTTATATGTAATCAGCCACGCCCCTCTGGGGGATGGACCTCAGAGACCTGAAGGCATAAAAGATTCCCACCATGCTCTGCAGAAATCCAAGATGGATGCCAGCACATGGAGTAACATAACCTCTGGGAAAAGGTAGGACCTTGACACAGGACAAGAGAAAGCACCTCTGCAACCCAACCTCCCACAAACCTTCTTATGTTCTTAAAAGGTTATCACGCCAGCAACACTACCTGGTGCTTCTGGTTATGCTTGAGCATGTGTCTTCCTGCCCTGTTTTATTATACAATAATTAGACTGGTACTAGCCAAAGCACATTGGCCTTGACCGCCAAACATAATAATAATAAAGAATTTTAAGTATCCTATTTGAAGTGGTGAACTGTGAAGGCTTGTGAATAGTGGTTTGCAGAGCAAAGTAGAAAAGCACAATGAGAAATGCAAGATGCTATGCATTATTACCAGTTAAGCTGTCCTTTATCGTCCAACTCAAAAAAAAGAAGATCCCACGCTAGCTGTCACAATGGAAGATCAGGGGGGTGCGGGGGCTGGTACAATTGTAACATTTTACATGTCACACCCTGAATATGGGTGAAACCCAAAAGTGAACTTCTCCTTTGAATGCTCGTTATGTCTAGGGGTGCCAGAAAAAGGAAAAATGCGTATCCTGCATTCCAGCATTTCTTCCAGCAGTGTGACTGGTCCTTCACAGTCTTTTCTAAGGTGCTCCCAGCCACGTTGCACTCCTGCCTTCTCCATATACACTTAAAGCCTGTAGCCTTGCATTGTACAGGGGAACGCCAAGGGGCAGCCTACAGATTGGAGATTTGTGGAGAAGAGGACAGTGCTGGATATATCTTACCCCTCAAGACATAATAAGCAACAATAATTAACCCTTGCATTGTGGGGGGAAACTACTTGAAGTGTAGATTTTTTTTCTGATTCCTGCAGTTGAGCTTTAATATGTCTTAACAAGGAGTCTGATTTTCTCTTTCCAATGAAAGGTGTTTTTTTTACAACTGATAACCAGGTAAATTGATTGGACACTGAAGTGGCTTAAAGCCATGAAGACTTCCTAATATATTTTTTTAATAATGTTGCTCCAAAGCAGGATGGGGAAGCTTCATCCCTTCAGGAATGAGGATGTTTAGCATCTGGAGTCAGCCCCCTTAGTTGATGTGGCCCTCATGAGATTAGCCAGACAAATAACACTGCCTTGTAGGGGTGAGCACCATACCAGACCACCCCCTTCCCTTTTTACACCAAGGAAAATATTACTTGGCCCCTGTGGACTAGAACCCTTTTTACTTGGTTATAATAGATCAGGAACAGTCATTTTCAATAGTTTGAGGGATTTAGAGCTAAGGTTTTTCCTTGCTCATGTTTGCCTTTTAGAGCTAAGGTTTTTCTTTGCTCATACTTAGTTTGCTTCTTACTAAGTTTCCATAGACAATGGTGATAGCTCAGCAATATGTATAAGGCTTACTAAGGCCACCTCTCTCCAGTACGTTCTGGATACTTAGGTCCAATGGTGGCTCAGTAATATGTATAAGGCTTACTGAGACCACATCTATCCAGTACCTCCTTAATACTTAGGTCCAAAAATCCTATGAACTGGCCCCCATTCTCATGCAGTTTTGTTTTGTAGTTTGAAGTTTTGTATTAGTGCAGTGTTTTCTCTCATTGTATCTCCTTGGCACTATCATGGCATTTGCCCCGGAATCACTTGTCAGCATGGTTCCAGGTGAAATAATATATACCTCATATACTCCTGAGGAAGCAGAATTCTTTTCCAGGAGAAGCGTCCAGCTGAGAGTTATTTCCACTCCCAGTTTGATGTCCTAATTATGTTGTCACTATAATGATTGAGTACAATATACAGTACAATGTGTATACACTCACTGGTACACCTGTTCAATTGCTTGGTAACACAAATTGCTAACCAGCCAATCACATGGCAGCAACTCAATGCATTTCGGCATGTAGACGTGGTGAAGACGACTTGCTGAAGTTCAAACCGAGCATCACAATGGGCAAGAAAGGGGATTTAAGTGACTTTGAATGTGGCAGGGATGTTGGTGCCAGATGTGCTGGTCTGAGTATTTTAAAAGCTGCTGATCCACTGGGATTTTCATGCATAACCATCTCTAAGGTTTACAGAGAATGGTCTGAAAAGGAGAAAATATCCAGTGAGCAGCAGTTTGTGGACAAAAATGCCTTGTTGATGTCAGAGATCAGAGGAGAATGGGCAAACTGGTTGCTGCGACATTCAGATGGTAGGGTCAGAATTTGGCGTAAACAACATGAAAGCATGGCTCTATCTTGCCTTATGTCAGCTGATCAGGCTGGTGGTGTCGGTTTAATTAATATTTTCTTGACACTAGCAAGGTGTACCTAATAAAGTGGCCGGTGAGTGTATATTGTGTATTAACATAACATATGTGATTGTAGAAACTAGGACTGGGAGTGTGACTAAACTCTCTAAATGAGATCATTAGCTATCAAATAGACATGCGAACCTCCTTTCTTTTAATGTTAATGTACATGTATGTTTTACTTCCAGTTGTAAATAAAAAGCAGGTTTTAAATATTGCATGTCATTGTGTATCTTAAAAGGCTGGTCCTTTTGTTGTTTAGACACATAACACCACCTTTACTGGATGCCTTGTCTTGCAAGAATGGTCTTGACCAGCAATGGGCAAACTACGGCCCGCGGGCCGTATACGGCCCGGCGGACCTTTTAATCGGCCCGGCGGACCGGCCCGCGGAGCTAGGCTCCCGCTGGGCTCCTCTCACAGTCCGCCCTGAAGACCGGTGTAGCATGAAAATCTGTCTCCTATGAGGATCTGTCCCCCTCGACGTATCTGCGCATGTGCCGGAGATCGCCGATCGGCTGCTAATGCCTGAAAACTGGCACATGCGCAGATACGTCGAGGGGGACAGATCCTCATAGGAGACAGATTTTCATGCTACACCGGAACGCGCGGAGCAAAGGTAAGTGATTTGACACTGGGGGGACTTGGGGACTTAATATGGGGGATGAATTAATATGGGGAATGAATTACTATGGGGAATGAATTACTATGGGGGATGAATTGCTATGGGGGATGAATTACTATATGGGGGATGAATTACTATGGGGGATGAATTACTATATGGGGGATGAATTACTATGGGGGATGAATTACTATGGGGGATGAATTACTATATGGGGGATGAATTACTATGGGGGATGAATTACTATGGGGGATGAATTAATATGGGGGATGAATTACTATATGGGGGATGAATTACTATATGGGGGATGAATTACTATATGGGGGATTAATTGCTATGCTTACTATGGGGGAATATTACTATACTTACTATGGATGATACATACACATCATTCATCTACTCTTGGTCCGGCCCCCGGGTCCAATATATGAACCCATTGCGGCCCTCAAGTCAAAAAGTTTGCCCACCCCTGGTCTTGACACTGACCTTAAGAAGATCTACCGTTGATTGTCATGTCCCATTTCTAGCATGCAATTATTGCCAACGGCTATAGCCACTAGCAATAATAATTGTGTTCTCCTGGCAGGGATGGCTCCCCATATCCCCCAGCCTGAAGCACACAATAGCTTCAAGGGAGGGATTCCCCCATCAACACTGACTATGTGGATGGGGGAATCAAATGAATTTGTTTCCTACAATCTGTGGTGAACCATATGTGAACCATAGCAAGTAAACTGACGTACATCTACGTGATTTTTTTCTGTAGGTGCCACCCAGGTGCAGTATATGTATTACGGCTGGTCAGCAAGTGGTTAAGGTAAGTTGGCACTGCACTGTTGGTGGGTTGGTGATATTCTGGATCAAAAACTGGAGCACATTATCATTTTTCAGGTTGAATATGTTGGACACTTTATGCACTGGATGTTTCAAGAGAACATGATTTATAGTGATGTATATGTGGAAAAGATCACTTAACACATATTTATGTGTGACACACACTGGAGAGCAGCCTAGGGTACACTCTTTGCAATATATATATATATATATATATATAAACGTTTTTTTATATATATATGCTTTATATTGTGTGATTGCACCATATACAGTACAATAATTTCTGGATTTATTTGTTTATTTATTTATACTTTGTGATATATTATATATAGGTTTTATTATGAATTAATAATACACTACTTTTTTTTAGGACATACAGTTAGGAGCACCGCACCACTGTTTTTTTTATAAATTATGTTTTGGTTTTTAGCGTCTGAGTTCACTTATATGTAGTAGTTCCCTAATTCTAGTCTCTTGTTTATTTTTTAGATTTTATAGCAGCACATGAGTTTATTTTGATTCATTTGTTGTCCAAAGTGTCTCCCCCATCCAGGATGGAAACACCCTAAGACAGGAAGTGTATTACTGGTCGGACCTCCAAGTAAAAAAAAAAAAAATAGAAAAGTAACACAGCCAGCACATTAAAGAATTGGTACACTGCAAAATTGTACCTTTTTGTGTTTGGGTTTTATACCACTTTTAGGTGAAGTAGACTTCTTAACAATGTGTCACCTGGAGACCATTAGAAGCCCACTATTTAAATCCTGCATTCCCAGGGGTTATGCTTTAAAATATCAACGTGGATACTTACTCTTTATGACTTTTGGGAAGAATTCTATCCATTGATGAATTGTTGAATCGCCCATCAAATATATCATTTTGCCAGCCAAACATTTATTTATGTTTATCAAGGGCTCAAAGGAAGAAAGCTTACAATGTGTGGGGAACCATTGGTTCTGCAGGAAATAACCGCTAGGGAAGGGAAGAGAGGTCCCAATTTGGCATTTTGAAGTCACTTTCATAGAAGTTTCTGAAAAAGAATTGTGTTAACATAATAAGTTTATTGTTAAGTTCAAAAAGCTCTTTTGGTCTTTTTTTAAGTACAAATTAGTGTAATTATAAATTCTATAGGGAATCTATAATGAAATATCAAGGTGGAACTCCAGCCAATTTTTTTTGTGTTTCAAAAAGAGTAAAGAAAGGTTAGAACCTCTAACAGATGTGTCCCTCATTGGTCAGAGTTCACTTTATTTCCTGCTCTTGAGACATAACAAGAAGTGAGTGGATATCTCCCCAAACTGAGAGGATTTAATCTATGACATTTATAGGCTCCCATCTACTCTTGTTCTGGTGGCAACTGTAAAATTGTTGATTCTGACTCACTTCATGTTCTAGGAAAATTGCCATGAAGACAAAGAGAGAAGGGAAATCTCAGACAGCAATACAATCTTGACGGGGGTCCTGCTACAAACTTTGTGTTGCACCCTCCAGGTTAGCTAGAATTTTTTTTTCGTCAGTCAGAGGCTGAGTAGCAGCCTGGAATGAGTAAGCCTGTAAGTGAGGCATAGGTTACCTCAGGACAGGCTAGGAAGGTTCTGAGGGTCAGAGATTCTGGAGCTCTCCCACCTCTCCAGAAACCTGAGAGCTTTCTGGAGCAGAGATGTAGGGTGGAAGGAATCTATGATCTCTGTGCTTGAGGGACCGTGGCCAATCCCCTGGAAGGAGGTTGGGCATGGTGATGAAGGCAACCCTTAAGAATCAGAGGGCCTGGGAATGTCAGTCAGTGTGAGTGTTGAGTGGAAGATAGAGTGAGATGCTGAAGTGTGGAGCCTGAGAGAGGGGGAGCCAGGGAAGGAGCCTACCTACAGGGGGGTGTGCTGGACAAGGGAGTCTCCACTGTATCACCATCTTCCAGGAGGGGTACAACCTGAGCAGGAGGGAGAGGAGCGATAAGCCTGACGTTCATTTTGTTCATAGCCAGCCCAGCGAAAGGCCTGAAAGCAGCCACTGGTTACTGTCTCCAGTGTGCAAATGTGTGTTTGCTTGGCTGTGCAGAACTATAGGGGGACCCAAAGGTCAGCGACTCCTAAGGGGGTAGTGCTACATGTGTTTATTTATTTGTATGCAAGGGACATGAAGTGGAATTATATGTATAATTTTATATTAGCTACCACTTACAGCCAGCAGTTAAGTCACTGCTGTACATGTTCACTTCTGTGACTGCAGCAGATAGCTTGTGTAGTGCTGAACAGCTGGAGCTGAAAGATACAGAGAAACATTGGACCAGACTTCCTCAACATTTTCAACACAGAGGAACCCTTGAAATACCTTTCCGGTCTCTGGGAGCTCCTGCTAAAAATTATTATATCTAAAACTCATAATACATTAGTGTGATGATCAGTGGGAAGAATGCTCCTCACACTTGTGGTCACTGGGAAGAATTACCCCCTTTAAAAAAAAAGGGTAAAGGCTGTAACCTTTCCCCACTCCATCCTAAGCAAACATTAGGATATGTCAGTGGTGTGGTTAGTTGGCTGCTTATGTGTGGTAGGTCGTATTGGGTGTTCCCGCTAGGGCATAGCTACAGATGGTATAGCAACCAATTGCCTGTGCTAACAAAAATCATGTTTTTTATTACTCCTTTAATCACTTAATCGGGTGATTCAAAGTGAACAAAGACTCTCCTTATTTAGTAACATACACCTTGCAAAGTGAACATTTACTTAGCTAATTGATTTTAGCAAAAAGATGAAAAAGCTGACCACAGACAATGCATCTGACTATACAATCTCCTTTCAATTTACCAACAATAAAAATAATATAAAAATGCAGACTTACTTGGGCATTTTAAAACGCCAATACTTCTAACTTGCTTGGGAATTTCTTTGCCAATGTTGGACCTTTAATTATAAAAAATGAAAAAAAAAAACAAAACAAGAAATACATTTAGTATTTCAGTGGTACTGATGTCCAGGGCTTTTTTTCAGAAGGAACATGGGGGAACGCTGTTCCGGCACCTCCAGCACTGAATGTTTGTAATGATGACAGGTAATGAGTAGTGCTGGAGGGTCTATTTTTTCTGGGGGGTTCAATTGTTGCTGGGATGGGTCTATTGTTGGCTTCTGGAGGATCTATTGTTGCAGCGGGATATTTTGTTGCTAGGGGGGTCTATTGTTGAAATCAATCTTAGCAACCTAAGACCCATCTCCTTACTCCCTTTTGCCTCCAAACTCCTTGAACATCTAGCCTACAACCGGCTGAGCTGACACCTTATTGAGAATAACCTTCTCGATCCCCTTCAGTCTGGATTTTGTCCACAACACTCCACAGAAACTGTTCTAAAACTCACAAACCACTTGCTAACCTCTAAAACCAATAGGTCACTATTCCGTACTCTAACTCTTGGACCTCTCCACTGCCTTTTACACCTTCAGTGTCACTTACAACTCAACTTCCTCCTCTCCTACTCCTCTCTACTGTGGGGGTCCCCCAAGGTTCTGTCCTTGAACCTCTCCTTTTCTCGATCTACACTTCTTCATTAGGTCAGCTGATAGCTTCCCATGGTTTCCAATACCATGTCTATGCTGATGACACACAAATCTATCTCTCTATTCCTCAGCTCAGCCCATCAGTTTCCACACGTATCACCGATTTACTAACCGGCATATCAGACTGGATGTCACACCACTTCCTAAAACTCAATCTATCCAAAACTGAGCTTATAATATTTCCTCCCCCACATGCCTCAGGATCAATAGCACCACTATCAACCCATCCCTGCATGCCAGGGTGCTAGAGGTAACCCTGGATATCCTTTCAGGCTCACATCCAATCCCTGTCCAAATCATGCCACCTCACCCTCTGCAACATCTTCAGAATACGCCCCTTTTTAACCAATGATACCACAAAGCTCCTAATTCACTCCCTGGTTATCTCTCGCCTCAACTACTGCAACTCCCTCCTCAATGTCTTACCTTTACATAGGCTACCCCCCCTCCAGTCCATCATGAATACTGCTGCCAGGCTCATCCACCTTACCAACCGTTCAGTGTCTGCTACCCTTCTCTGCCAATCCCTCCACTGGCTTCTACTCGCCCAATGAATAAAATTCAAAATACTAACAACAACTTACAAAGCCATCCACAACTCTTCTCCCAGCTATATCACCAGCCTGGTCTCAAAATATCAACCAAACCGTTCTCTTCGATCCTCCCATGACCTTCTGCTCTCTCGTTCCCATGTCACCTCCTCCCATGCTTGCCTCCAGGTCTTCTCCCGAGCTTCTCCCATCCTATGGAACTCCCTACCTCCATCTGTTCAGCTATCTCCTAATCCATCCACCTTTAGACGATCCCTGAAAACCTTTCTCTTTAAAGAAGCCTATCCTGCTCTAACCAGTAAACTGCCTTTTATTTCCTCCATCAGCTCATCCCCCCCACAGCTATTGTCTTTTCTATCACTCAACCCTTCTTCCTAGATTGTAAGCTCCCAGGAGCCGGGCCCTCTGTTTCCTTTTGTACCAAATTGTATTGTAACTGTAATGTCTGCCTTCATTTTGTAAAGCTCTGCAAAAACTGTTGGCGCTATATAAATAATGTATAATATTAATAATCATAATATTGTTGCTGGTTGCAGAGGATCTATTATCATTATCAAACTCTATACAATACAAAATGATACTTTGTTTCTTTATTCTCTAAAAGAGGTAGAACTGGAAGGTGGGTACGGGGTAGAACCAAGAGACAGTGCTTGGATACAAGGGGTGACTCAAAAGGGGGAGTTCCTGCACTTATTCTTTGAGAAAAAAAAAGCCCTGCTGATATCCTTCATTGTATGCTTACCCCCAAAAAGTTTGTCTAAACCCAAGAGCAAACATGTAATATATTGCAGTTTACCAGTTCTTATATGTGGTGGCTGCATTAGTTTGCCTTTTCAGAGTCTTTTCTTCTTTATTTTCACCTCGTAAACCTGTCAGTAGCACACTTTCTGTCTTAGAGTGAAAATGCTCATTCACCGTGCTGTGTCTATGGGGAAGCACTGTTGTCACCCCAGGCTGCAAACACCTCCTTATCTCCATACCAAAGGGTAAGGGTCTTGTAGTTTACAGAAGAGAACTGGTATTGAGATTACTATTCAGTACATGTGATTTCTAGCAGAATCAACAAGTATAATCTGTACCTGAGGAAAATGTTTTAGCCTAAAAAAAAAAGAAAAATAAAGCTGCCAGCGGACCTGAAGACTGTAAAATTACAATATATTACATTTTTGTTCTTGAAAGTAGATATTAAAGGACAAGTTCAGTTTAGAATGATATTTTCTCATCTCTACTCCCTAGTCTCCTAACCAGTGGTGGAACTAGCAAAACAGCCATCTGCACAGCAACTATAGGGGCCTAGGGCAGAGGGAGACCAGGTCAGGACCAGCAAGTTGGTAAGTTGTGGAGGTAAGTTGTCTCAGTTAGTGTCTGTCTGCTGCCCACTGTTCTGTTAATGGCACAGCCAGGGGCGGACTGACAACTCACGGGGCCCCGGGCAATAGGGGAACATGGGGCCCCTGTGTCCTTGCCCAAACTCAAAAAAGCCTATGAAAAAGGTACCAGGGGCATCTCATGGGGCCCCCTACTGACCCCGGGCCCTCGGGCAGTGCCCGAGTTTCCAAATGGTCAGTCCGCCCCTGGGCACGGCACAGCTATTAGTGTTGTGCCTCTGTTCTTCCTCGCCTCTCTCCCTCCCTAAGTAATGGAGGAAGTCTCCCATTACTTCTTTCCTCTGCAGCTGTGACTGATGACCTGGGACATGATTGTCTGTTCAATTAAAATGTCCTTCCTATGCGTCTCCTAGCTCCTGACCTTTGGGCAGGTTATAAATGGTTGTTTTACTGTCTACAGTAATTTGTTTTTTGTTTTTTTTGGAGCTCGGAATTTGCTAGGAGTTTTTTCTATGGTGATCCTTTCATGTGGGACAAAAAGGGAGTCCATAGTTTTTCTGGTATTCTTGGTATTTGGTTGATTTATTGTTTCATTTTTCTAACTCCTCTTCTGAGTTTCCTTCCAACTGTATCTTCTTATACTCTGTCTATTTCATGGGTGAGATGAGTCTACCATTCATCCTAAGCAGCCAATTGTGTCTAGTGTCCTATAATGTAGATGGCTCTATGTTGGTAGTTCCTTTGGGTACCTAATCGTGCGTATCATCTCATGAAATGTAAAAGTTCTGCGATCACCCAACAAGCGCATGACACTTGAAGCGCCTTAGAGCTGATGTAGCCTTACTGCGGGGAACACATCTCTCTGAGGGCATTTTCAACCATCTACATAAACTATGGGTGGGAGAAGTTTGTGGTTCGTCTGCTGTGAATCGCAAAGCTGGAGAGATCATTCTATTGCATAAAAATATTTTCTACAAACTGAGAACTATTGATGCAGATTCAGAGGGATGGAAGCCGGCAGTTTATATATCTATTGTCAATTATGATCTTCCTATTAGTGACATCTATGCTCCCAACACCCCAGGCACCCCCTTCTTTCAAGATCTTTCCACTTGCGTCATTAGTGCTCCCAAAAACCTTCATCTAGTAGGAGGGGTGAACTTCAATTCAGTTATGGAACCCTTGGAGGACGTGGAGGACCACTCCCCTAGTCCTAGATCTGTGTCCACAGGTAAGTCTGCACCTACCCTACTCTCTCAGGTATTCACCTCCCTGGACTTTTTGGATATCAGGCAGCTCTCACATCCCACATAGAAGGCAGACAAATTTTATTTTGCACCTCACAATTCCTTTTCTCAAATAGATTATTTTTTTTTAGCTCACTGTTCATTATTTCCTATGCTAAGTGATTCAGATCTGTCTGATCTTGTTATCTCTGACCATAGTCCCATTATGGTAACCATAGGTGATCTCTACCCAAGTAGCTCTCAGGAGATTTTTCTCCTATTTAGTAAAACCCAGTCACATACTTTATACCCCCAGGAGGACATTCCCCTCTTGGGGATATTAGCATGGATAAGATAAGATGTACAATCAGTAAAAACATGACAATGCGACCTTTAACCACTTCCTGTCCGGACACTTTTACCCCCTTCCTGTCCAAGGCAATTTTCAGCTTTCAGCTCTATCACACTTTGAATGACAATTGCGCGGTCATGCAGCACTGTACCCATATGAATTTTTTACCATTTTTTTTGAGACAGATAAAGCTTTATTTTGGTGGTATTTATTCACCACTGGGATTTTTATTTTTTTTGCTATGTAAATGAAAATGTCCACAAATTTTGAATAAAAGTGGTTGTTCTTATAAAATTTTGCAAATAAATAATTAATTAAACCTGTCACATGTCAAATGGAGCATTTAAAACAAATGAATAAGCAAAGTTACCTTCACTAAAAAAAAAAAACAAGTAATAGGCAGTTAATCCAGAAATCAAAGGAAAATCAAGCCTGGCTAATTTCCTGTCTCCCAAGTCTCCTTATTGGTCTTTCAATGTTATGAGTGGCTTTGAAGACCAAACAGAAAAAGTTAAATTCCAATTGAGGCTGTATATACAGTATAAATTATTATTTTCTTTCTGTAACTCCTTTTTATGTACTTTTTAACATATGGTCAGTTTGAATAGTCCAACTTAGCCCAAAGGTTTACTTTAAATAGTCTGAATTCTACTTTTTATGATTGATCCTCTTTCCAAAACATGGCTATACCTTTTAATGTTCAGCACCATCTTCATAAACGTAAATACAAACTATGCCTAAAACAAAAAAGTAATCTTTGGAAGTACTTACGTGGTAAACAGAGTGTTGTTCTCCTTGGTGAGGTATGTATAAGGTGTGTTCGCACTCCTTAATGATATGAAAGCCTCACAAGGTACTGCTGGTAACTTGATACAGTAGAAAACTTC